CCAGAAAACGGGGTCTTCAAGAGTCATGGGCCCGAACCCTTTTAGGATTTTCTTAGTCTCACTGAGTCCTACTTATAGCCAAAATATGGAGTCAAACGGCGTCCGACAGTTGGATAGGTTCCCTCGTAAGTAAAACGGTATATAGTTTGTATGAAATCTTGAAAAGGTATATAGATGGTGACAAAAGTTTAAACCCTTTTTAGGTTCGGTAGAATACCTTTTTTTTTTTAGAGAGTATGAGAACGAATGGAGACCAGATTCGTAATAAGCATCAATAGTTATTCATAATCAAATCTGTTTCAAGGACGTGTTTGACAAGCCACTTCAAAAATTCTCTTCTTTTCCAGAAATTTTTTCAACAATTAAAAACAATATGAGAGGCTGAAGCTCTGCACTAACTTTATCCAAGTCATAAGACCGATTATGGTTCTCAACTCTCAGGTTATCGAAGGATGACTTCTTTTTTGATTTTTTGTGGATTATTGTAGTTCTATCTAAGAGTTTTATTTCTGAAGATGCAATAGCTTTTGAATAGAAAGCTTCATCTTATGGACAAACAAAATTAATAGCAAATAAAAATAACTTCGCTCATTTATATATAAAACGTTTTTTTGAATAATGATACATAAACAACTTCCGTTACTTAAAAAGTCAAACAAAAACCAATTAGAAAAAAAATGCGTAAAAAAACATTTAAGTGAGGTATTTCCTAGGAAAACAAATTGAAACAGTAAAAAAGCTTATGGGAAAGTTATCGCTATAATCGTTACAAATCTATCGTCTTGTCGATGGTTCTTGGTTACAGTGTTATAAAATACTTTATCATACACTATTCCTACGCTGTCTAAAAGAAAGCGCATTCTCGGAAACTGAAGGTGATTTGAATAACCTTTAGAGTTTTGCAAGAAAACTTCGACAACTGAAAGAATACTGTAATTTAGAATACTGTAAAGAGTTTCCAAGTGTTCGAGAACTCAAAAGATGTTGGAAGAAAATGTCCGTAAACGGACAGGAAAGTATCTTCTGAAACCGAAACATTATTGTCCGAAACTCAATTCCGGCTCAAATTTCTTCAAAAATCGAGAGGGTATCCTAATGTACCCTTTTTCACTCCCGATTGGTATACCGATAGATGAGCCTCGACAAATGACTCTTACTCAAAGAACAACGTACACATTACATGATGTAGCTCGATACGATTAAAGAATACAGACGCAAGCTATAACCTGGTTTAATTAATGAAGTTGCTATTTTTTTATGATAATATAGAAACTGTTTGACTTCAGAAAGAAACATACATCTTTCATTTTTACTATACCAATTTTCCTTAAAAATTTCAATTGTAAAATCTTCCAACGATAAAGAGCAACTTCTTCTTAACAGTTTTCGTTTTTGTCGCGCAAATAAAAGTCAAGTCACGTGGCATTGTGTTAAAAATAGTTGTACCGATTATGTTTTTTATGGTTATAATAATTTTTGATGTCGTTAGGTTCAAGTGTCTAAAGTTCACGTGTCGAGAGGCTCAAATATCGGGAGCTCTAATTTCGAGAGCTCATATATCAGGAGGCTCATTTATCGTGCCTCTTCGTTAATGAAAAATTTTTCTCTAAAACACTTCGGCTTTGAAAGGCTTTGCGTTCCAGCGATAGTTATTTGTTTTAATTTTTTCATCTATGGTGCGAAGTCTAGTTGCATCGCAAAAAGCAGATCGCTAGAGTATCAACAATTTGTTTCTTGCAAAAAATTAAGTAGAAAACAAAATAACCCTTACTAGGACGTGAAATACCTCGATTTTATTTCTAACAAGTAATAGAATTCGCGTTGAAAAGGAAGATAAATTAGAGAAGCAAACTCTCTCTATAAAACAGGTAGGTAAGGTAGGTGAACATTTTTCAAAAACTCGTTCGAAAACATTTTGTTGAAGATTTTCAAGAAGAAAAAAATAGAATGAAACGAAAAAGAATTTAGGAGAAATCAGACACTCCTTTCTCAAAAACGGAGAAGCGTTTCATATAGTTTAATTTTCGTAAATCTGTTAAGCGTTCCTGAGAATATGTTTTTGTATATGTGTGAGAGTAGTAAGATGTGTGAACAGACTAGAGATGTTCGCTGCTCTATGAAGATCTATCTAGTCTCAGTTAAATAGGAAAACAAGTTTTAATCAGAACAGTAACCAAAGTTAATAGAATATTATTGAAGGATATCGAAATTCCTACTTGAAATGCGATGAGATCTAGATAGAAAGACGAATTCTATTCTATTCTAAAGGGATTCTTACCAATTAAGTCTAATAAAAAATAAGGTTGTTCAGTTATCTCAAAATAGATATGAAAAAATTCATTTAAATCCCTGAGTATTTTTGATGAATGTTTATTTTTTGCGAAAAAGAACTATATTAAGTATCTTTTAAGCCATTTGGGAATGGTTGTTATGTTAATTCATTTAATAACGATGCATACTCCTTCATTCTAGTAGTTTTGCCCTTGTAATACAACGATGTTTAGTTACATTGTATAAACATGTAGTAATAATCTTGTTATCATTCTGTCTCTTCATATTTCTATAAGTTTGCACATTTAGATACGATACGAAAACTTTTGCTCATCTCCTAATTAGAAATTATCAAACATAAATAGTATGAGACCTTGTATTGGTAACATTTTATTGACCTTAATCACCGGAGTAAATGAAAGTGTGGGAGTTGTTGTGTTTAAGTAATAATTTAAACTGTTGAGCTTTGCGGTACCAGTTTGAAGCCAGATGGTGGATTTCTTGGACGACAAGTAAAAAACCAAATAATCGTAATAACAATTAATAAACATAAGATAGTGACAGCCGCCAATGAAATTGCAATCCATTTCCACTTTTCATTTTTGAGTGCTATATGTCGGTTATCATCAGAATGATTTTGTGATTCTAAGTTTGAATGTTTGGAATTAATGTTGAGCTTTTCATCTCGAAAATTATTACTATGATTATTTTTGCTATTATATTGTTCAGGGTTACTGATATAAATCAAGGGATCTAGTGTTGTTGTTTCAACTACTAATAATGTGGAACTATGTGATTCTGGTAATTTATTTAATGCTGATGAATCACCCTAAAAAAAGAAAGAAGAAACATTTAGCATTTTATATCTACAAAGAAAAGAAAAAATGACTATTTCTTATAAAACATATAAAACTGAAGTTTTTTTCTTTATTGAAATCAATTTGTCTCTTTCCTATAGATAATTGATTGTATTACATTGTGTACACTGTTATGCTTTGGGTAGCGAGAGTACATGAAATTTCGAATCTTCCCTTTGAATCTAATCTTAACTATACAAAGTAGAATGATTTTATATTTGTATGTTCAACTACTGGGATGAAAACGCTAACATTTTATCCTGAATTTTTAGAATACGAAAAAAAACAAATAATTTCGAATTGAAATATATCATAGTGCTTTATACGAATTTCAAATGAGGCATGTAACAAAAAACCCACTAAATAACAAGAAAATTTTTTACATATTTATTAAGTTCTTATTGCTTCTTATTGCATATCTGACGTACATGGTCTTATCTTATAAGGAATTCAATCGAATGTTTATGACAGATAAAATATATTTATCGCAAGATTGTAAGATCGCAAAATTATGGAAGCTTCTTTTTGTAATGCTTTTATTATTTGATGTTCGGGATTTATTTCTATGAGAAAAAACATGCTAGTAGAAATTGTTTAATTTTGTAGTTTAACGAACAAAATTCTGCTGTAGAAACAAATTTTGAACTCTTTGAGTAAAGTTAATATAAGAGTTATATTAAATATCAAAACACTTTTAGTGCTTAATAATCACGCCTTAATAGTGTTTCCTATGTTTTTTCCTTGTCTATATTTAGTTTTCTTACCAAAAATAGAGGCATTGCCGAATGAGCGTTTACAACTCGATCTTCTGCTGAACTTAAAATAACCACTTGTGTATCACTATCGCTATTGCTATCATAAATTGATTTTCCATTTCCACTGATTGGCGATTTTTGCTTGTGAGGCTCATAGTATGGTGGTGATTGCTGATGTTCATTCGATTGTTCGTGTTCGTTGCCCACAGATTCCGCTAATTGTCCATCAATAATTCGAAGATAGTCAAATGGTGATGATTCATTATACTGACCTTTTTCTAAGAACGATGTGGGTGATGAAATATCTAACGGCGGTCTAAAGTTTTGCACTACATTACATTCACTTAGTAGACAACGTTCTTGTTGACTGTCTTTGCAATTATCCATATAATATGAACTTGGATTTTTATTTAATATGGTAAGAATATAATCGTAGATACAATCGCATCCTTCGCCTTGCGGAGGATGAACAATTAAAGATGGAGTCGATTTAATATGATTTGTGATAAATTTGGCTAATATACAACGTGATGTAACAGATAATTGATCTAATAGTATTTTACTTAAATCGAGTCGTTCCAAATGTTTTAAATGATTCAGTGATTTATCGGATAATATTTTCAAATTTGCACCAAGTGTTAAAAATCTTAATCTCTGCACATGATGGAACGTGTCAGCTTAAAAAAGACAATTTTACAAAATTATTGATCATGTGATGTTAAGAGTTTACATTGAGTTGCAGTACATCGTATTTTAGCGAGAACAGTGTAATATATCTCAGTAATAAAGGAAAAAGTTGAAAATTATTGTAAGTGTGAAAATTTTCGCACGTATATATATATGAACACAAGTCACAACAAAATGATGGTTCAAGAATTATCAAGGTCTTGATACAAGAAGTTTCATTTTCTCTGTGAAATGTATTTATTTCAACATTTTTAAACTCAAAAGTACAATGAAGTTATTAATGTATTTTCTTTCTTAAAACACATGTAGTATTTTTTTTTCACTATGTAAACTAGTGTTTAGTAAAATGGTGATTACTTCAACGAAGCTTATTTGCCTTAAAAAAAAAGTACTATGTTTTTTTTTGTACAAACGTAATTTTTGAGACTTTTTCTGTTTTGAGTAATTCTGTTTCTGGCATGCTCCTTTCAGTTTTCTTCAATGAAGTTTAACTAGGATAAAAGTACACAAACACTATTTTGCTGAAGATCACTGTGACAAAAATCGATAATAATGATGCTAAGTATCCAGACAGAGAGACTTAGGTTTTAATTTTAAGAAAAATTAGTCTTTTTTAGGTGATATATCAATCATATTGAGAGCACCGATAGAGATCTTTGCTCAAATGAAAAATGACGAATAATTTCATTCAAATTTTGTCAATAATTCGAAGAACTTAATAAAATTAAATGAATCAGATCACTTACATTTTATCGTTTCACAGTCCAAAACCATTGTTTCTAAATTTCTTAAATGTTGTAAACCATTAAACGTTGTATTATCTAAATTGAATCTTGGTTGAATAATATGTAATCCATTTAAATTATCATATAATCTGAATGTACTCGAATTTATTTTTCGTGGTTCATGTACTTCAATAGTCAACGATTTCACTGGTATCATAGGAAATTCTTCAGAACTTAATGTTTCGGCCATTTTTGTGAATTTAGCTGACTTTATATGACCATTATATGATTGTTTTAACGTATTATTACTTTTCAATGTAAAACCTTCGATAGATAAATCACCGATATTCGTATTATTAAACACATATTCAAAAGGATAATCGCCGAGTGATGAGGCATGAATAATTAATTGTCCAACGGATAATTTATAAAATGCCATTGGATTCATTGTAATTTGACCATTTGATGACATTTCTAAATTAAGTGTTGTCTGACGTTGTTGTTGATATTGATTTGTTTGATCAAATAATTCATAGAATACATAATCTTGAAAATGTAATTGTTGAAAGTGTGAAAAAATAAGTGATATTTTAATAAAACTAACATCTTTTGGTGTTATTTGTGATAAATAATTGTTACTATTACTAGTGAGTGGTGGAAAAAGATACGATAATTCACTAATAAATTGACTCGATATATTTAAGTTATCAACACGAAATGTGAGTATATAACTATTAAAATAAATTCTTGATTGAACTATTTCTTTTTTAATTACTATTGATGAAATACTTTTATATGTTTCACATGTTAATTGACCATAATCGTTCAAATGAACATGACAATCACACCTAAAATTTTCGATAATATCACAAGATTTAGAATAACATTTACTTATTAATAATAAAAAAATAACGTATGATAATAGTTGAAACGACATAAGTTTCATACTAAAATTAATTAAAAATAAATTTTTAATAAATTTATTAGATAAATATTATCGATAGATATTGAATAAAAAATATAGGGTCATAGTATTACATCTAATATCATACTCTATTTGTCAAAAATCTATACGATCGTTTGAAATCAATCTATATTGTATCTATATTAAAAATGTACTTGTAATGAGTAAGAGTTACATCTTGTTAACTGGCTGATTAGTCCCAGATGTCAAGTCAGATAAGGACGTTGTTGTTTAAATAAGTAAATGAGAAAAACTTGATGTAGTTTACGTGACTTTATGACCGATTATTAGAGGAATGTTAAAGTAACTTTAGTAATGTCAAAATAAATATAGAGAGTCCGTTTACCAATAAGAAAAAAAATTATAATACTGTACACAAAAACTGACTATATATATATATATATATATATATTGGTTTTTTGTTTCTTCACATTCTACTAAGAGAGTAAAAGTACGTGCTCTATCTTTAACGTATTTTGTTCTATTTAGTGCCAAAAATAACTCTTTTTTGCGTCCATCATTTGTTATTTAAAACTATTTCTTGACACATTTATACTCTAAAAAACAAAACAAAAAACATAACCGTACAATTGGTAGCGTAACTCTTGTCAAAAAAACGTTTTCTTTTTACATTTCTGAATAAAGATTACTTTTTCTATGGTTTCACAACAAATTTATGTGCATATAAAAATATTCATAAAAGATGTTCGTTCATTAATTGTTAAAATGGTTTCGCTACTTCAAAACAAAACAGAGAAAAAAAAAACAGAGAAAAAGATGATATGAACAATGAGATTTTCATACTTTTTATGCAAACAAAACTGTAAAAATTTTATGGCATCTTGCTGAACACATACAACATTTTGCCACGTTAGAAAAGGAGCTTTTAATTTCATATTTTTGAATATATTTTTAAAATAATATTAGAGATTGTATACAAGAAAACATTAATTAATATTGTTTATATAGCAGTTTAACATGTTTGATCTTATATCATGATAAATAATAAATAAATGTTCATATAATATAGTCACTTATTTGTTAAAATTTCTTTGGTAGTCTATTTGCACTATAGAGTTAAACTATCTATAATGAATATGTTCAATCGGTATGAATATTTAATAAGACTATACATGATTTATTAAATTTATGACGAATATGTCCGAAAGAGGAAAGTGAGAACGAGAGAGAGAGAGAGAAACAAATATGTTTACATATCATTAAACAATAGATTATAAAATGAAAAATGTACTAAAGCTCTTAAATGTTCAATTGCTTCAATCAATATCTAATATTATACAGAAGAAAACATACGTGGCAGAATATATGTATCTAGTATAAAGTCGATGAATCTAAATGTGAAGATGGAAAGTCGATGCATCTAGATGTAAAGATGGAAGACGAAAAGAGACAAGAGGTGGAGGGGAGGGGGAGGGAAAAGATGAGAGTGAGAAGACTTTCCATCTTCACATTTAGATGCATCGATTTTATACTAGATGCATATATTTTCTCACCCCTCGAAGAAAATATAGGATCAGAAATAGAAATGAATTAAAAAAAGATTTTTTATAATTAAAATAAGATCAAATTATTTTCATATGATCAAAAATGGCTCTAAAATATTTTTCATTTTTGAAATATACATTATAATAGATCGATCAAGAAAGAAAAACAAGAATCATTAACATATTTCTAGGTGAGTATTTAAACAAATAAAATCTTTGATGAGTAATAGAGTTCAATTTGCTCGTATAAACTTCAAATGTTATTTTAGTTAAAATCTAAAAATAGTTCTAACATACACGTTGACACGAATAGAGCTTGAAAATATTTGTAGAAGATATCCAAGCAAAAGTTACGTGATAAGTAAATATGTATGTCCTTCATTGTTTCAAAAAAAAAAGGTAGATCTTTAGCTATTCAAATTTCATTTCTTTTTTTTCCTCCATTGTAATATAATTCTTCCAGCATTTGTATAAACGTATATTGTCTTTGAGCAATAGAGACAATTTGTAACACATATGATTCTATTATATTAACTTTAAATATATATATATATATATAGATGAGATATAAACAATAGAGAGAAGAAGAAGACAATTTTGTTGCCATCACTTTATTTACTTCTCTCCTATTGATACTAAATTTGAACTTTAAGATACCATATAATTACATAAAGTATATTTAAACTCTAAATGATCAGTGATAAGGTCAGTGATCAAAATATTCAAAATTAGAGTTTAAAGATTAAAAGAAAAAGTTTTTCAATGATAAATGACTTCTTTTTTTAGTCTATAGTACTAATACTATTCGTTTGTCTTACAAAAAAAAGAAGTCCTTCAGCTATTTTTTATCGTCTCTGAAATACTCACAACCACAGTAGTTCCCCTTATATACATATATATTATATTTATTGATAATTACTGCAAAACAGAAAGTTAAAAAGCATAAAGTTATAGTCATAGAAAACCATCAAAATAATTTATTTATGGATCTCTATGTATTATTTTCTTGTTTGAAAATGTGTTATTCGCCTGCTGTGTGCCAGTCAATCGTCCTTCAGAAAAAACTTGCATGTACTTGAAGGACACGTCATCTATGTTTTTTTAACGATGTAGATATACACGTTCGATAAGTATAAAATCTGTCATATTTACAATAATGTAATATTTAGGTCAATTATGCTTAAAAAGAGTCATTTACACAGGTTCCTCGGGGAATTTTTATATACAGTTAAATAAACTCTATTAACCAAGCATATAATATTAGTACCTAATATTGTTATGAGATTGCTGAATTTTTCGAACAATTTTAATTTTTAACTGGCAAAAAACGCACTTTTCCATCCACTTTCCGTTACATTAGTCCAATCTACAATCTTATAGACGACCTGTTCGGTGATAGTTTAGTACGTATCCTAGCTTTTCATTTTCCTTCCTTCAAACATCATAATTCAAAAGTAAATGTAAAATATTAAAGACATAATAGCTACTTTTTCTTGATTATCCTTGAAGGAAATATAATGTAAAGCTGGGATACATATGAAATTAAACTCGAATTCAGTATAAAAAAGAACATTTTTTATCGATACGCAGTAATTGTTCAACATTGCACAATAACACATATTCAATTGACAAATATCTAATTCACAGAAAAATGATTGACAGAAGCAATAACTGCTGTGTGTGATGTTGATTATTCTCTAAATCAACGACTTTCGCTCTATGAGCGTGTCGACCTCCTGCTTATTTATACAATAAGTTCTGTCATTCTACGTTTGAAGGTGATAAAACAGGAAAATAAACGCAAGACAGCCTCGAAATAACAGACTCATCATTAATGACAGTACTTATCTTTCTTATCAACTCTTACTATCTCGTTCGCTCTCGATCACATACAGGTATTTTCATTCTGAAGACATACACACGTAGGTGTACGTATGCCCGATACAAATAATAAACATAGTATATATCTATATATATACATATGATCGCTATAGAACAGACTCGAGACGAGAACAGATACATTTCATTATTATTATAGTTAAAACTAATCGTTTTCTATAACAGAGAAGTGCATGGGTATGATTGTTTTGCACCTGTATCCGAGCCGA